AAAGATTCCACTCCTACAGAAGCTCTCAGGTCACCCCAACATCCCAGTCCTCCCTGTGAGAAATGATGGCACCACGTGCATGATGACTCAGCATCACCCATATTCAAAGGAGCTGCATTTTGTTGAGCCAGAAAGCACTTGGCAGCCACCTCTCCATTTCCTCCCCATAAGGCCCTAAGAAAGACCATTCCAGCTGACTGACCTGAGCCAGTGACAGAGGCCCTAGGCCAGTGGTTCTCAACCTGTGGATCGCGACCCCTTTGGGGATCGAACGACCCTTTCACAGGGGTGGCCTAAGACAATCGGAAAACATATATAATTACATAATGTTTTTGTGATTAATCACTATGCTTTATGTTCAATTTGTAACAATGAAAATACATCCTGCATATCAGATATTTACATTACGATTCACAACAGCAGCAAAATTAGTTATGAAGTAGCAACGAAAATAATTTTATGGTTGGGGGTCACCACAACATGAGGAACTGTATTAAAGGATCGCGGCATTAGGAAGGTTGAGAACCACTGCCCTAGGCCTTTGCTCAGCAGTCTGTGTAATCTTTTCCTGAACTTAGTGGGGAGACAGACTGGCTATACCCTTCTGCCTATGAGTAGGGCCAGCTCAATGCCCAAATTCTACTCATTTAAACGTGACTTCACAAAAGACATCAAGTTAGTCGGGTGCCCCACTAAGGCCATATCCCTGATGTCTGGGAAATGCCTGGGCCAGGATGCTCCCCTTTTCATCTTGTCACCAGCTTGTCCTTTTCCAAGACAAGCCCCTACAGCTACTCTGGAGCTGCTCCTCTTCAGCCTGAACTGTCTTCCTCTGAGCCAGGCCTCATGCTGAGCCCCAGATGGATAAGGCTCTCCCTGTCCCTACAGAAAGCAGATTTGGAAGTTCACAATGCTAAGTGTACTGGCTGTGACAATTTAAGCAGGAAGGGTATAAGAGGGCCACATGTGTGTATATAATGCTCCCTGCATGTCAAAACAACCAACATCTGAGCCTTGAAGGATGGCTAGGTTAACCAACGTTCAGTGTGTGAATGTGGATCATTTGGAGGGTAGGGTGTAGGTCAGAAGCTGAACGTGTTATATGGGAAAGCATTCCCAACAGAGACCACACTGTTGTAAGAGCCCAGGACAGACGTCCAAGGACCATACTAGGAAAAGCAGGCACTGTAACATAAGTGAGGAGTAGAAGAGATTAGGCTGGCTGGATGGATAGGCAGAAACCAACAATGATTTTGGATTTTATTCTATAAACAGAGATGCCTGTGCCTCAGCTGCCTGGGGAAGCTGGGGAGCACTTTCCCACTCTTCAGCCCTCTCACACCAAAAGCTGTGTGTCTGCCCTCCAGCCTAGAACCTGGCTGGCTCTTGGGACCACTCAAGTCAGAAGGTCAAAGACCCTCAGTCACCTATAATAGCCATTATCTGAGGTCAGACTACTGCCAGGGGCCCAGCTGGCTAGAGCTTCTTGGAGGAACTGGTAAGAGTATAGACAAATAGCTCTACAAGGAGTATCTAACTTAGTCATCCCAGGCAGCCAGGTATGGGAGACATCATTCAAGAAGGAAACAGCCCGACCTATGAGGCTCAGTAGTTGAGGATCAACCTATGAATCAGGGTTCGATTCCCAGTCAGGGCACATGCCCAGGTTGTGGGCTCTATCCCCAGTGTGGGCTGTGCAGGAGGCAGCCAATCAATGATTCTCTCTCATTATTGATGTTTCTCTCTCCCCTTCTCCTCTCCTCTCTGAAATCAATAAAAATATAATTTAAAAACTAAAAAAAAAATAAATTTACAAAAAGCAGGAAACAGCTGATGCTCTGGCTATGGCCACCTCCATTTGCACCTCCAGTGAAGATTTCCAAGATAACCTATTTTGAGAAGCTTGAAAAGTTCTGCTCTGGTTCTGTATCACCCTAGGAGTTGCTTTGTAGTTCGTTCTGGGCATACCACTTGTCCCTGGCTGCACTTGAAGTTGTCAAGTATAGACTGAGAAGAAATGACTGGAGAGGCCAGAAAGGGCCTATACTCTGGACTCCATCACTTCCAGATTCTGAGTTTTGGCCTGTGCGGGGAACCACAGGTAAAGAAAGTAGAAGGGCAGATAAAAACCCTTCTTCTGATGAATTCTGGGAACATTCTTTTGGCTAGAACAGAGAGGCTGCTATTTGCCAAGCTGACCCGTGTCTGGAGCTCCCAAATGTGCCTTGTACTCTGCCTGCACCATAGGTCTAAATCATCTCCATTCTACATATGATAAAACACACTCACAGTTTTGACTTGATGAAGTGGCAGAACCACACCAAAGAGACTTCATCACATTATTCTGAAGTTCTAGGCCCAAAGGGTCAAGATACCAAAGTTATTGACTGAAGTTAAAAAAAAAAAAGGCAAGTCAGAAATAAGGACTTAAAGGCAAAACCTAGAACAAGCTGAGCATAAAATAACTACCCATGAATCCATACCAATAAGTAAATGATCGAATCTATAATAATAAAAGCATAATATGCAAATTAGACTGGACAGCCGAACGACCTTCTGGACGTCCTTCCAGAAAGTCCTTCCAGATGACCTTCTGGACAAAGCCAGTGCTGCGAGGGCCGAGGTGAGGGCCAAGGCAAGCTGCTGCGGCTGTGAGGGCCAAGCCCCTTGCACGAATTTCGTGCATCGGGCCTCTAGTAAAGACATAAACAAGTAGGGGAGAAGAAATAATTCCTGTTCAGAATTCCAAGTACTTTGTGGGGCTACTCCCCCTTACAGAGGAGGAGCTAACTCCCCACTCTTTAAGCATGTGCTACACACAGTGACTTCCCTCCTAAGGAGACAGTATGGACAGAGGAAAATAGTATAACTTTAGCATGCAGAAATCTGATTAACACCACCTCAGCCAGGTGATCAAGCTCAATATCAAGGTCCTGTGCCCTGGACACGTCACTGAGGAGAGTGGTGCTTTATACCTCCGTGGTCTTCCTCTTCAAAACCTATAACTCCAGTCTAACCATGAGGAAAACATGAGACAAATCCCAACTGAAAGACATTATATAAAATACCTGACCATCAATGTTATCATATGTAAGGCAAAACTGAGAAACAGTCACCGCCAAGTAGTCTAAGGTGAGATGACAACTAAATTGTGGAATCCTAGAACAAAAGTACATTAGGAAAAAACTAAGGAAATCTAAATAAAATATGGACTTTAATTAAGAATCCTGGATCTATGCCAAAACCGGTTTGGCTCAGTGGATAGAGCGTCGGCCTGCAGACTGAAAGGTCCCAGGTTCGATTCCGGTCAAGGGCATGTACCTGGGTTGCGGGCACATCCCCAGTGGGAGATGTACAGGAGGCAGCTGATCGATGTTTCTCTCTCATCGATGTTTCTGACTATCTCTCTCCTTTCCTCTCTGTAAAAAATCAATAAAATATATTAAAAAAAAAAAAAGAATCCTGGATCTATATTAATTTTTTTATTGTAATACAAATACCACATTGACATAATATGTTAACAAATAGGGGGGCATGGGGTGTTTGGTACATGGGACCTCTTAGTACTATTTTCACCATTTTCTGTAAATCTGAAACTGTTCTAAAGAATATTTATTAAAAAAAAAAATTTAAAAAGCCCTGCTGGTGTTTCTAGGTGATTAGAGCATTGGCCCACGGACCAAAGGGTCATGGGTTTGGTTCCCAGTCAAGGGCACATACCTGGGATGCAGGTTTAATCCCTGGCCCTGGTTGGGGTGCATGTGGGAGGTAACCAATCGATGTCTCTCTCTCACATCAATGTTTCTCTCTCCCTCCCCCGACTTCTTTCCACTCTCTCTAAAAATCAATGGAAAAAAATATTGTCGGGAGGATTGACAACAACAAAAAAGATGGCAAGCTTTAAGGACATCCTGCGCCAGCTTGGGTCTAAGCACCAGTCCTGCTCTGCTCGCTGATGTCTTATCGGATCTTGGGCAATTACCTTGCCTCTCAGGAGTCCATTCTACAGGCAAGTTTACCTTGACCCAGTGTCTGCTTGGCTCAGTGCATTCACCCCATGAGCAGAAAGAACTGCAGGTCAGGCTAGTTTTGGCAGTACACCCCTCACTTCCTGGCCAGAAGAGGAACA